ACTCCTGTAGCCCCAATTGCTTTTTGCCCAACTTCACTGAAAGTGACTTTTACTTCTGATGTTTTCTTCTTTGTTTTTTTTCCCCTTCCCTATTTTGTAGCTGGGCAGACATTTTATATGGTGTTTTTATTGTGCCTTAATTTTAACTATGTTCTGTGACATAAGGTAGAATTTGTGTGTCTTCTTAGGTCCTAAAAGTTTCAGATTTCAAATTAAAGATGTTCAAGGTAATGCTGACTTACCTACATCCCACCGTAGCCCTGCTGATTGCCAAGATCACAGGCCTATGCCACCAAGCCAGCTATCTAGCTTCTTTAGTGCTTTTATACAGCAGGGAATCTGAAGTCCAGACATTTATGTTAATTGAGGAGTAGCAGGTACTAGCAGAGCTGGATTTTAGTCCTGATCACTTAACTTAAGTTTTAAGTCTTTTACTTCCTTTTAAATTACACTTTAGGTGTCAGGATTTGAACTACGCCCTCCTGTATGCTAAACGTACACTCCTACAGCTGAGCTCCTCCCCAGCCCCTGTTCTGTATGCTTATCTGAGAGATTCATGCTAAGTGACTGTGATAAATCAAAAGGAGTACGTTTTATTCATATAGTAACACAGATTGGAAAACGTATTACTGAATCATGCATGTCTTTAATCAGCATGTCAAGCTGATTATTTCAAATACAGTTTTTCAGAGGTCTACAATTATTGTAGAGCTGGGTGAAGGTTTAAAAGCATTAGCATGGGAAGAGCAGTATCAGCAGGGCTCACAATCTCAAGCTAATGAGAGTAAGGAGAATGAGTTTTATTTCACTTAGCAAGGTAGAGGGATATTAATGCCTTGATTACAGCCTGGATGAAGGTGTCCCCATAACTGCCAAAATATGGAATGCTTTGTTGAATTGAGATAGTTTCGTCTACGTTATTTCTAGATAGAGCAGCCCTTAAAAAAATCTTTTTCTTCTGTGAGAGTCTGAGTATGCTTTGAACACTGCATTACTCTCAGCGTTAGAGCCTGCAAGTCTAGGCACTCAAACTGTGGTCTGTGCAGTATCAGACCTGCAAAAACAATACCAAGACTGCCAGTTGATTCTTACATACAATAAAATATGAAAAGCATACCTATCAGAAGCAGTGCTGTAGGCAGTGTGATTCTCGACCATCAGCATCACCTGGAATATTGGTAGGAAGTACACATTCTCAGTCTCTGCACTAATTGAATCTGCAGCTCTTGAGTGCTTCACAGAAATATTTGTTTTAATAAGTGCTATGGATTACTTTAATTTGTGCTAAAGTTTGAGAACTCCTTTGTATCAGTATATTTTAAACACTTTTGATCATGACATATGGAGAAGTATACTTTCATGACTGTGTATACTCATCACTTGGGAAGAACGGGGAACCTCAGTTGAAGACTTTTGGTTGAGGCTGGAGAGATGGCTTAAAGGTTAAGAGCAGTGGCTGTTCTTCCAGAGGACCCAGCTTCAGCTCCCAGTATCCACACAGTGGCTGACAACCACATATAACTCCAGGTCCAGGGGATTATATGCCCTCTCTGGCCTCTGAGGGGCACCAGGCATGCAAATGGTGCACACACATTACCCATATGTGATGTTGATGATGATAATAATAATGATACGAATAAGATTGCCTAATTTGATAGACCTTTGGCTATGCCTATGAGAGATTATCTTGATGATTAATGTGCAGGGCCAGCCCACTCAGAGCTGTATCGTCTCAGTGGGTAGGCCTGGGGAGTATAGAGCTAGCTGAGTTACAGAGACTGAGCAAGTCAGGAAGCTCAGGAAGCTCTGCTCCTCCATGGTTTTTGCCTTGGTTCCCACTGTGAATTCTCTTAATTGTGGATTGTGATCTGCAAGTTTATGCTGAAATAAATCTTTCCCTCCCCCAAGTTGCTTTTGGTTAAAGTATTTTATCTCAGAAAAAGAAAGGTAACCAAGATACTTAGGCACAACCGTACATTTCTCCCGATCTCTACCAAGAGACACACAGATGTAGACTCGTGACTTACAAGTTTGAGGAAAAAAAAAATCTCTAAGTATCTTTTTAGTTTTTTTTTTTTTTAGATTTTTAAAAAGTTTTAGTTTATGTGTATGATTGATTGCCTGTATGCATGTATGTAATATACATCATGTGTGTCTTGTGTCTTTGGAGCTCAGAAGAGTGTGTTGAATCCCTTGGAACTGAAGTTAAGGATGATTGTAAGCTACCATGTGGGTTCTGGGAACCAAACCTGTGTCCTCTGTAAGAGCAACAGGTCCATGTTTGACTGCATCTGTAGATTTACAGTCTGTACATAGGGAGGGCCAACTATGTAGTTAAAAGATATTAATAGTTTTTAAAAAATATTGCCAAATTTCATCTTGAGAATCAGGATGTAAGTATTTTTCCTAAGCATAGGCTTGCAGAAATCTCAGAACAGGCTCTCCATAGACCAAAAGTCAAAGATTATTGCTCAAGTGGAACTTTCCTTTAGAATAGTTCTTCAAGCTCTAATTGGAACTCTAAGCCAAAAGGATTATCTTTCTTAGAACTGCAGGAAATGCTTCATGCATTACATCCTGGATGTTTGCTGGCAGCGTACTGATGAGCCTCTTTTTTGCGGCATACTTTTGTGGCATGTTAAGTGGCTTTGGAGGTTACCTGGCAGTCCAAGTTCAAGCTGTTGGTAATATTCCTTCTCTAATCTCTTGCCATCTCCCTTCATATTCCCAGACCTGCAAGCCTGACTCCTGGATGCCATGCTCAAGAGCTGTGTGCTCTGGATTTAGACTGCATGGAGTCAAATCCAGAATATGTAGTGGATTATCCGTACCACCTTGGACACATTATTTACTTGTTCATTGAGTTCTTTCCTCATCCACCAGACTGCAGTGATAGGCGTACTCAGTTGATACGATTGCTCGGAGCATTAAGTGATGCATTCCATATATAGCACTAGAGCAGTCCTTGCCAGGGAGTAAGGGGTTAATAAATGTTATCCATTGTAGTTATCCTTGATTTAAACTTTTCCCTACTCTCTTCAATCTGGCTGACCAGAACATTCCACAGACCATCTCTATGCAAAGATTTAAATTAATCCACTTTTGTCTACTAACAGTGCCATGATTTAATCTCTCTTAGACTGTTAAGTTCCTTTGTGTGATAGGCCTATAGTCTTTTAAAATATAAGTGAACAATCTTTGAAATGTAGATAAATAAAAAATTTGCCAAAATGTTTTGATGGCTTTAAGTTCTGATTAAAATGAGGCTTCACTCCCTAAGCACCCCATGTCTGTTTGCTCATTGCTTCTGAGAGCCCTGCTGCTGTCTGTCTGTCTCTGAGATGGACCCCTTACATGGCTTCCTTACAAGAAGCTCTTCTGAGCGTCTTGGCCTGCTCTCAGTATAGATATGGGTTATTTTCAAATGGCTTTCCCTCTCATCGTACATGTTCCTGTCCTTCCCAGCTTCTTGTGTTTCTCATTTCTGCAGGTATCACGTTCTCAGAAAACCATACATAAGCATCTTCCCCAAATTAGGTCACCTTCTTTGGGAATCCCTGGGGGAGTTCCTTTTATTAGCCAGAAGCTCTTTAAATACACAGATTATCATTATTTTCTCTCTGTTGGGGAAAAGGATAATTAATCTGTACTTGTTAAACACATTACACTAAGAAGAATTTACAGAGATGAATTTTGCACATTATAAAAAATAAATGATTGCAGAGATATTTTAAGGAATGCCGTCTCAAAATTCTGCAAGTTAACCTCTTGATAATGGTATAGGAGAGCAAGGTGAGAGCAACAGGGATCACAGCACACGCTGAACTTGGCTGTAGTCGGGTGATGGAGCTGTGAGTCCTTCTGTCACTGACACACATTTCTGCTTCAAAGGGAGTAAGTCCTGAGATTCCCTTGTTTCAAGTGGTTACTTGATTGTTCACGTAACCCTTGTTGTCAGTGTTGCCCAGAATGAAGAGTCAGTTATGAGTCATGGGAATACGTGTTTTGTAGTCAAGAGAGAATCCAGAGTAGATAATATATTTTGGATGTTTTCATCCACAGTAGAGGCAAGGGGATGACTCCACGGTGGGCATAGATCAAATTTCATCCTTTACTTAATTCTAGGCCAGAAGTAGGAACCACTCAAATTTCAACACATGCCTAAGAGCAGTCAGAAGAAGGCCTTAGGGATTGTGATGTGAACCAATTTTACCCCTGTAGTTTTTCTTTAAATAGCAGCCTTTTAAGAATCTGGGCAGATGCTCAAATTTAAGACAGATTGTATCAACGGAATTACTTACAATTCTGTATATGCCTTGTCTAGCTGAGTGGTATTTCTAATGTACGATGTGGTAAGTTTGGGACTCAACCAAATACAGAATTACTTGATGTTAATCATGCAGAAAATTACATAAGGTTTTTAATAGCTAAAACTAGCATAAACTTACTGTGTACATGCATGTGAGAGCCTGTTCATGTGGGTGCATATGTGTGAGTATGCATGTGAAAGTCAGAGGTCAAACCTTGGGATCATTCCTGAGGAACCAGTCATTTTGTCTGAAACAGGGTCTCATTGGTCTGGAGCTCACTGAGTAGGCATGGCTGGCTGGCCAGCCTTCCCAGGGCTGGGATTACAAACTGATGGCTCCCTTGTTTGTTTGTTTTAACATAAGTTCTAGATATTGGACTCAGGTCATTATGGTTACGTGGCAAGCTCTGTACTAACTGAGTTCTCCCCAGCTACATGAACTTTTTAGAATAGTTTGTCATAAACCTGCTCCACAGTCATGGCAGACTTCGTGAATTCTTTCCCCCCTACCCCCATTGATATCACATGTGTACTATTTTTTGGCTGGGTCTCATTGATGAAATCACATGTCCTGATTGTATTCTGATTGTTTGTTTCATTTTGAGTGATTATATAGTAGTGTATCAAGCATATATATTGTAATGATTTAATCATTCCCTTCTTGGGTAATTTGTCATTATTTGTTTTGCAGGCAGAGCCGTTTGTTTGGGTTAACAATGCATCAGCACATTCCCAGAGTGTTGCCAAGGCAAAGTACGAATTTCTATTTGGCAAGTCAGAAGAGAAAACTCCGGATACTAGTAAGTGTTTTTAACATTGACTTCCAGGTAAAAGATGTGTGCTTCTACTTATTTCTGTCCTGTACTTACCTACATCGCTTCCTGCTTACCCTGCTGAAGCCTGTGCTCTCCAGCTGTTTTCTAGAGTGGTCTTCCCAGTACTAGAATTGGATGTAGCTCCTCCAGCTTGCTCTAGGTAATTTCAGGTCTGTTTTTTGAAGAACTTTCAGCTTCTGATACTTTAAGTTTCAAGAATGAACTGTCATTAAGACTTAATTTTCCACCCTTACCGTTGTTCTGTATAACTATCCTTTGTTTTTGGCTACCATCATATGTTATGGAGAGGCAATTCCATACATTATTTTAATAAATGTAATCTTAAGAGAGCTTTCATTTGAAAAACTACTGTCACATTCTAGAATTAGAAGCAACACTCTTCAGAACAACTTAGAGCAAATAGACCTAATATTAGTGCTAGTCTCAGTAATCCTACTGACTGACTTCCTCAGCATCCCAGCACTATACTATGTACTTTGAACATTGTAGATTATTTGATCCTCAGGGAAATCCCATAAATTGCCTCTGTTATCCCCATTCTCAAGAGGTGGAATCTGAAATAATTTCCTTTCAGTTACAGTTGCCTGACCCCAAAGCTTTCAATCCATGGGAGCAATGCATTTCTGAATACAGTTTCCTAAAAGAGAATGTGAAATGCGCAGTCTTAAAGAGTTTCAGAACACGTACCTGTGTCTATGGAAAAGTGGTGGCGAAAGCAGGTATCAGCTTTGGAAGACAAAACGTTGAGAGCTTGTGCTTTGGAGTTAGACTTTCTGAGTTTGAATCCCGAGCTTGCAACTCACAACTTTGTGGCACTATGTACACTATCCAACTCAACTTTCTAGTCTGTACAAAGTGATTCCAGTGGCACACCTCAGTTATTCTTTGATATGCAAAGACCTCAGAGTCATGCATGGACATAGCAAGTGCTTCTGCTTTTGTCTGTTGTTTTGATGAGGATGATAGCAGGTCCTCCTGCCCGGATCCCTGACCTTCAAACGTAACGTTTAGAACGATAATCATTACTGTTTTTACCTGCATTGTTAATCTAACCCTTGTTTTACATGTATGTATAAGGCGTTTGACCTAATGTGGTTGATGTTTGGTTGAAAACAGAACAAGTAATTCTGTATTTCAGATTGGTATCATAGTTGGATTGTGTAACAACATTTTAAGATTTCCAAGAAGTTGATACATGCATATGCACTTAATTCTTATAGTTTTTATGGTCTTTATATTTATAATCACCTTAAGACAGTTTAGAAATCCTTTACTGCTCTGAACTTTAGAAGCCACCTTGTGGATTTCTGTTTTTTTCACTATTTTACTCTGATGAAGCACAATTTTTACTTAATTACATGTCTTAGGTTTACTGATGTAAACAGACACCATGACCAAGGCAACTCTTATAAGGACAACATTTAATTGGGGCTGGCTTACAGGTTCAGAGGTTGAGTCCATGATCATCAAGGTGGGAACATGGTGGCATCCATGGTGGCAGGCATGGAACTGCTGGAGCTGAGAGTTCTACATCTTCATCTGAAGGTTGCTAGCAGAATACTGACTTCCAGGCAGCTAGGATGAGGTTTTTATAGCCCACTTCCACAGTGACATATCTACTCCAACAGGACCACACCTTCTAATAGCGCCACTCCCTGGCATACACAAACCATCACATTATGTAAACAATGTATAATACTCTCTGTGTCAATAGTGAATAGAGCTATTGGCAAGAATGTGCATCAGCTGTGCTGGACTTCTGTAAGTTGTGTGAAATATTTAAAAAGCAGTTATGTGAAACATACACCTTTTGTACCACCTGGCCATTTTATTCCTCAATATTTACCCAAGAGAAATTCAAGTGAATGCCCACTTTTACAGGAATATTTGTAACCTGCCCTTTTGTTTTGCTGTCTGGGAAACCAAGCACTTTTAGAGTTTATGCTTTTTAAAAGTAACAACAGAAGACTCAAATGAAGAAAGGATGGGTAGTGGTTGGTGATTCTGTGTGGTACTTTTCAAAAGTTGTCATTTCTACCTTAACACTAATTGGCTTTGATTCAGTATATAGTATATGCTGTAGTCTCTTCCTTAGTCCTTTGAGATTTGTCCTTGAAAACTACAAAACAAAGCACTTGAAAAGGAAGAATTGCACATGAGTCACTGGGCCAGAGGCATGCTTTTAGTTTTTCTTTCTTCTTCTTCAGATCATTATTGTTAAGTAATGTGAGAATATGAATGAAACTTTAAGTCTAAACTGTAAGCCAAAGAATAAAGTGAAAAGGGCAAGAGAAATGTGTAATTTTACAGTCTTAAGACTGTACTAGCTCAAGTTTAATGTTTTATAAGTCTTTTAAATCATTATATAATTTAAAGTTTAGTACTCTAAATATTATATTATAAATATATGTAGGAATAATAGAATTTTAGAAACATTTTTATTATATTGATAAGAAAATGATACCGGGCAGTGGTGGCGCATGCCTTTAGTCCCAGCACTTGGGAGGCAGAAGCAGGCAGATTTCTGAGTTCGAGGCCAGCCTGGTCTACAGAGTGAGTTCCAGGACAGCCAGGGCTACACAGAGAAACCCTGTCTCGGGAAGAAAAAAAAAAAAAAAGAAAAAAAAAATAAAGATCTGTTTTCTACCAAGTCTTATTAAAGGATTAAAAGAAAATTTTAATGTTCTTGGTCCATCACTTTGTTTCTCCTGATGTTTGTATTTAACATTTCTGATAATTGTTCCCAAACTTGTAATTTTCCTAGGGTTATAGAGTTGAGTTCATGGTATGGAATATCCAAACTTAAAAGAAGTATATAGCGGTTCCTGTTAATGTGATGCCCTCTAAAGAATGGACTGTATTCAGATTGTTCCTGCAGCATGGTGCATTGGGAGCTGATATAGAACAGGACAAACAACAGACCCTGAGTAGATAGAACTTGAAAGGAAATTCCCAATTTGGACAGAGAATTCAAAGTCAGAGGATAGCCGGGCTCTCTCATCAGTGGGCCCAGGAAAGGATGTTTTTGCTCTGATGAGAATAATTCAGGTGCCCAACAGAGTCAACACAAGGAGCTAGCATGGAGTTTTTGCAGAACTGGACACTATGCATGGGAATTTTGACTAGAAGAATTGTGCATTACTTAGAAGCTATTAGAGTATGGACCTGTGGCTTACATACCACTTTTCCCAGAGTTCTGAATATGGGAGAAAATTCATTTCTTGTGGAATTGAAGCCCGAAGTTGGGATAGGGAACCAACGATAGTCTGTGCAGTGTCTAGGAAGAAACATAAAGAAATGTCACAAACTGTTGCAGAATTTAATGCAAAATTGGCCTTTTTTTGCACTTAAGGGCATATAAAGCTCTACATAAATAAATTCCTAAAATGACAAGCTCACAATTAGTATCATTTGCATAAAGCAAGAAACCTCTGTGGGAACAATTGTCAGCATTTACAATACAGATATCAAGACCCAAAGAGTGAGAGCAGTCGAATATTCTGAAACTTAAAATAGTTTTCTATAAACATAGACTGGGATGAACCATTAAGACACAGCAGGAACCTATGAGAAAGATGTGCACGTGACTTGGAAACAGTCTGTGTGCCATCTGTGAATTTAAACTACAGATAGTGAGCTGAAACTAGAACAATGGAGTAGTAGGTATAAAGTTATTCGATTTCTAGTGAGTTTAGTTGTTAAGTCAACACATTGAGAGAGGCTCAGTGGAGGATTGTCTAGGTTGGGCTGCCTGTGGGCACGCCTGCGAGGGAGTCTTCTGAGGTTGGGTAGCTGAGGTGGAAAGGCTCACCTGAATGTGGACCGCCCTGGGCAGGGTTAGACTTTCACCCGTATGAACAGAAACAGGGAGCTGAGCAGTAATCATGCATGCAGTCATTTCTCTGCTTTCTTGTGTATGGATGTGACCAGCTGCTTCAGGTGCCTGCCTTGACTCCCCTGCAGCAATGGACTATAACCTGGAATTAGTAAAAGGCAGATTCCCCCAGTCCCCGCCTGCCCCATGTTGCTCTTTGTCAGTGTATTTTTTTCACAGCAAGAGCAATGAAACTGAGACAGGTTTGTGTTTCCTTTCTAAACTTGAGCCTAATCTTGTTTCATGATCTACCATTACCCCGATCTGTGAAAAATGACCAAGATGGAGAGAGAGAGAGAGAGAGAGAGAGAGAGAGAGAGAGAGAGAGAGAGAGAGAGAATATGAATATGAGAACAACCCGAATCCCAAGCAAAGTCACCTCTCTTATCATATCTGAGTGTGGCCATTTGTTCAGTGTTGAATTAACTGATGAGTACTCTGCATCATGCATTGGTCCAAGCCTCTGTGGTAATTTTTGTTTTCTACTTCTGTTTATTTGTTGTCCAGACTTTTTTATAGGGGATAGGGAGCAGAATTTTATTATATACCCCAGGATTGCCTCTAACTTACCGTCCTCCTGCCTCATCCTCCCGAGTTTTGGGGTTCCAGACACGTTATACCATATGTAATAGGATAGTTTCAGATCTTAACTAAATAAAAATCTCCATTTATCGAACTGCCTAACAGAAAGATAGTTCTGGTTTATATTCTTGTTTGTTTGTTTGTTTGTTTGTTTGTTTTTGGTTTGGTTTTTCGAGACAGGGTTTCTCTGTATAGCCCTGGCTGTCCGTCCTGGAACTCACTCTGTAGACCAGGCTGGCCTCGAGCTCTCGAACTCAGAAATCTGCCTGCCTCTGCCTCCCAAGTGCTGGGATTAAAGGCGTGCGCCACCACTGCCGGGCTCTGGTTTATATTCTTATTGCCAAATTTAACTAGGAAAATGGGCTGATTCACTTTTAGTCTGTTAGGCATAGACATTTATTTTTTATTTAAAAATAGTATATATGTTATCTTAAGTATAATGTGAATTTTAGGTTTTTAGCTCTAAAACAGCGTGCATGCATGTGTAAGAAATGGAGTCGTGAGTAAA